CTCTCATTCTCTCTCTCAAATAAATAAATAAAATCTTTAAAAAAAAATATTGAGAATCCTCAGAAAGAACAGATATTCTTGTCAATATCATTCACTGATCAGTACTTGTTTTTTCACACCATTTCCTGCTCATTTGAAGGAAAAAGGGTAGCTCTTATGATGAGACAGAATTAGTAGGAAATTTTGTTCTTTTACAGAAAAAAATATCCTCCTAACTATGAAAAACACTATTGCTCAACTTTTAAGATGAATGAAAATTAGAACCATGTATATATAATATATATAATTTAATAAAGCATGAACTTTGAAGTCATACAATCTTAAATTCAAAGCCCAGCTCTATCATAACTAACTAACTAACTAACTAACTAAATAAATAAATAAATAAACAAACAGCAAGCCCGGTTCTATCATTTACTAGCTGAGTGAACTTGAATAATTTCCTTATCCTCTCTGAGCTTAACATTGTCATGTGGAAAACTAGAAAAGCAGGCCCAGTGACAACTGCCTTTGACATTCTATGTGGTCCTCAAAGGTTTAGGTTCATGTGTGACCCCATCTTTCCAAGTGTGGGCGCAGTTACTGAGGGGGTACTCCAGGTCTGCTTTCCGGGAGTTCCCCGTGCCACATTCTCTCTCTACCAGAAGGAATGACATCAAGGGAGCCTTTGAGTCAGGAAGTCTAGGAGCAGCCAGTGAGTTTCTGGTCTGCATCACTACTAAATGCTGTTTTATTTTGTTATGTGAATTAGAAGATATTTAATCAAATGTACTTCTACTCTCATAGTATTAAGTTTGGATGTTCTAAAGGGGAGTAAGGAGGCTTTAAATATCCAGAAAATGACAAGTACGGGAACTGTTACAAGAGGCGAAGGGTTGGTAATTAGTGTTTGATGCCTCAATTTATTCTTCCTGGACTGTGGGTAGAGACCTATGTTGAATACAATATAGCTGGGTTGAACTAGTTCTTTTTAGATTTTAGCTTTTCCATCTATTAAATAAGAAAAAGTAGGCTAGATGGTCTCAGGAGCCTATTAATTCTAAAATCCATCTATAAAATTAAGGTTGTGTTGAACTCTGAAATAGTAGATTTGGAGATTTTTCAGGAGTGCTGAAAGAAACTTAATGTAAGAAATTTGAGTGGTGATTTCTGGGGCAGAACAGGAAGAGCAGGAGGGAATGCAGACTATAAGCAGATACCTTTGGGGGTTTTCAGGTGACTTCTACAGTGTAGGGTTCTTTTTTTTTTTTGGCTGAGTTAATGTAAAGAGTGCAGGATAGTTCATCCACGAAAAACAAGCTGAAAAGAAAAAAAAAAAAGTGACTTGAGACTTCCTAACTTTGGGTGTGACTGATTTGACAAAACCATTTGAACAGAGTGATTGTTCCATGAGTAAATTGATACTGAGATTCACCCAAGGGCAAAGCCTCTGAAGATAGGTAGGATTTACCTCACTCTTCCTGCCCTATGGCACCAGCTGATCTCTTTCCTTCCTTTCTCTCAATAATGTTTTCCATCTTTATTCGGAGATCAAGAATCAATTCTCGGTTTGCATAGGAGACACCTGGGAGATCCTCTAACTGAGACCACTGAGTTTTTTTTTTTTTTTTTTTTTTTTTTTTTTTTAAAGATTTTTTATTTATTTATTTGAGAGAGAGAGAATGAGAGACAGAGAGCACGAGAGGGAAGAGGGCAGAGGGAGAAGCAGACCCCCTGCTGAGCAGGGAGCCCGATATGGGACTCGATCCCGGGACTCCAGGATCATGACCTGAGCCGAAGGCAGTCGCCTAACCAACTGAGCCACCCAGGCGCCCTGAGACCACTGAGTTTTAAATTGTTAACAGAACCAGTTCTTCAAATGAAATCTTGCTCGGAACAATAATATACTTAAAATGCGAACAACAAACTTGCTGGTGTTAAGGAGTGTCTGGAGTCCTACCACTAGGGACATTACATCTGGCAAACCCACTGAGGCACCAGAAACCCTAGAGTTTCATGAAACCAATATGAAAACCACTGATCTATTCCAAAGCCCACTCCCATCTTTTGTAATCAAGTCCCCTTAAAGCTTGAGGCCCTGGAGTAGGGGGTAGGGGTGGGGAGGAGCTGTTGCCCCATTCAATGTAGCAAGCCTGAGTGAGATAAAGGTGATCTAGGAGAAAATGAGAGGTAATGGGAGCACTGTTTGGGCCTACAGACACAGAAAGAGAATAAACAATTTGAAGCAGAGAAATGAGGGATAATTCAGGTTTAATATAATTACTTTTGTGTGACATTTCTACAGCTTTAAGAAGCCTTTCAAATATGCTATTTAATTAGTTCAATTCAGTAAGTATTTTCTGGGTACAAATTATGTACTTGATCTAATCCAATCAATGTATTGACTACCATGCACTATATGGAATATGTGTAATACATTATTTCAAGTAAGCCTTTCAACCACCCTGTGAAGGAAGCATAGTTGAAGAAAATAAGGTACAAAGAGGTTAAGTAACTTGATCATGACTTTACAGTATGTCAGTAGTAGAGCTAAAATTTGAACCCAAGTCTGTCTCACTTCAAAACCCATGTTCCTCCCACTCTAACCTCAAGGAAATACAAAACTAAGAAATTCAAGGAGATATGGGCTTTGCCTTCAAGTTACTTAAGATCCTCTACACTCGATTAATTGTTGTACAAGTAATAGAGGATGAACTAGCATTGATGAGACGCAACAAAAGGCCAGGAAAGTTTGGAGAAGAAAGATTATATTTCAAGTAAGGAACCAGGAAATGCTTTGTGCGGAGTAAATCTTAGGACTGTGTAGGCATCTGTGATGCAATAGAGCAGGGATGACTATCCCCATGTCACAATCAAGGAAGCTGAAGTTCATGGAGCTGGGAGGCTTTTCCACAGTTTTGCAGCGGGTTAGTGATGACATCAGAAATACAGGGAAGGTCTTTTAGCAGTCAGAGAGAAACTAGAGAGAAAATGTGAACATAAACAATGTCTGATTTAACCTTTTTGCTAATAATTGAATTTGTCCCCATTTTCTCCATCCTTACTTCTGCTAGCATCCGATTGTGTTCCCCAGACTGGTGTAACCACTTTGCACATAAACTGATATGCTTATAAACCTTTCCTCCACACAGCTTCCAAATTTATCAGTATGAAATGTATTCTGTCAGTCTCATCCTTCAAATCCTTTAATACTATGGGGGTGATATCTACACGTGTGATCAAAAACTTGTGTAGAACTAAATACATATATAACATATACATGCGTGCATGTGTGCAGATGAGTACAAGTAAAACTGAGAATTTCTGAATAAGATCAGTGCACTGTAGCAGTATCAATATCCTGGTTATAATATTTTTAACGGTTTTGTAAATTGTGACTTACCATTGGGGGAACTGCATAAAGGGTGCATGAACTCTCTCTGTATAATTCATTACAACTGCATGTAAATCTATATTGATCTCAAAATAAAAAGTTCATTTAAAAATCTTTTGCAAAAACTAGAAGTATTGAAATATTTAAGCTTCTTTGAACATAGCATATGATTCTCTTCTTCTCTCCCCAGCTCTATTTTCCAGCATTCTCTGCCCCAGATCTTACACTGTGCTAACATAGAGTTGCTTGCAACTTTCTCACATACACCAAATTATTTTCCATTTTAGTATTTTGTTTATTGTTGCTGCCATAGACTGCTCACTCATATCATTAATCCTTACCTGGCATAGCTAATTGCTTCAGATTGTTTAAGACTCTTTCTTTGATCCCTCAGATGAGATGATATATTTTAACTTTGTACTTTCATAGTGTTATACATACTCTTACTATTTTTCTTAGAGGTTTGGTTTCTTGTCTTACCTTCTATACCTTCTAGAGAGTGAGACAGTCTTATTTGCTTTTTATTTTCAGTGGCCTTTATTCTTGCTAGTAAATAATAGATTCTGTCTGTGTGTTTAACTTGAGTAAATGAATGTGCTTCTCCATATAGTTTGGAAATTATCAACAATAAATACAATGCTATTATCTTCTATTATGTAACTAGACCAGAGTATTCATTTGCAAATTTAAGATGATTGACTATCTTGGTACACTATTTATTAATACTTTACAATATTAACAGTAATGATTAGGAGCTTAGCTAATTTCATCCTGGGGTAAAATTAGTCTACTGATAATCACAATGAATCATAGACTGAGATGATCTGTGTAGATAATATGCGGACTTGGAGACAGCATCACCTGGGAAAGCTGGCATTTTCCTCCATATATATAGGATCAAGGTTATTTATTTTTTTAAGTAAAGGCAAACTTGGGGACCCAGCAATAAAATGGAGCAAACAGAAATGGCATTCATTTGCAACGTATTCAGATGTTTACTTATCCTTTAGTCTAACACAGAATTTTACACTCCAATTAAAAACCACCCACACACACATAAAAGTAAGTTAACCGGTGATTCAAAAAAAAAAAAAAAAAATCTAGGTTCAGAGGTTTGCATTTATTGTCCCTGGGCACAATCCTAAGATGGTAGTTATGAGAGAAGTGATTTTACTGCAGGTGAAATTGAAATTTTCTGAACTCCTTTCTGTTTTCTGATTCTACTTTTTACCTGCTAGGGGCAGAATGGACAGATAATCAGTTGAGACATTTATAAAACAGGTTTAATAATAGGTCACCCTTGCTGCCAGACTTAATGAGGGAATATTTATCTTCTTTTTGGGAATCTTCAGAACATAGATGCTGGGTAGTGGAAGTGTAGAGTGTAACAATATTACTAGTTACAAAAGAATTTGATATAGGATATGATTATCTGACTTCACAGCAAAATGGGATCCATGATACTGCCCAATGAAACACCAATCATGCAACTTCTGAAATTTGCTTTATATGCCTGCATGGTTCTGAAAAGTCACCTGAGATTTCTTGATTGAGTATGCTTTAGTTTTAATATTCAATATCATAAATACAGAAACTGTAATTCTAGTATCATTTTTGTCCTCTTAAGGTTTGTAGAAACCCCAGCTCATTTCTCTTGGAAAGAAAGTTATTACCGATCCACTATGTCCCAGAGCACACAGACAAGTGAATTCCTCAGTCCAGAGGTCTTCCAACATATCTGGGATTTTCTGGAACAGTGAGTATCAAAGAAGCAAAAACATGTTGTACTTGAATTATTATAAATAGATAAATAGAGATTATAAAAATATTGCTCACTAGGGCATGTTTTTAGAATCAATAAAAACCAGTCAATATTGTTGGGAAAATTTATTTCCTCCAATAGTATTTCTGTGTTCAAAATTCAGTAGAGGTTTATTCAGCTTACAACACCAAAAGATCATTATTCCAAGGTGGTATAATTTTGGAGCATCAGAAGGGCTCTCCTCAAACCATAAGAGACTCTTAATCATAGAAACAAACTGAGTGTTGCTGGAGGAGGGGGTGGGGTAACTGGGTGATGGGCATTAAGGAGAGCACATGATGTAATGAGCACTGGGTGTTGTATGCAACTGATGAATCACTGAATTCTACCTCTGAAACTAATAATATACTATATGCTAATTAATTGAATTGAAATTTAAAAAAGGTGGGGAGGCTTTCCTGCCTAACTCCCAATAACTTCTCCAGGGGCTCCCTTGATACCCAAAATCTGTTCCTTTGGCTTAAAGACTCTTATTTGCTGTTACAACACAAATACCCCCTGAGAAGGTAGAATACTAAATTTTGTTGGTCATTTATGCCTTGCTAGGCAAATGATTATTATCTACTGTATTAAGATCAAGTTTGGATAAGTGAGTAAATTCAGCAGAAGATAAAAGAATATCAAAGTACTTAGTACTCTAAGGGATAGGGTATAGAATACTCAATTCCCGATACATCCTTTCTCTCCCATGTTCTACCTAGCAATTCTCTGACAAGGGCAGGGATCATGATTCCCACTGTACAAATAGGACTTAGATTTGAACAGCCTGAGATAACACATTTGGCATGTGGTTGAGCCACGATTTGAACCTAGAGTCTCTGACTCCAACGAATGAGCCTTGCCAAAGGAAAGAGAGGGAGATCATTGTTGTCAACTGGATGCTTGTGTTTTAGTCCCATTCCTTGCCTAACACACTTTTGTTTGTCCTTTATGGTAGGCCCATATGTTCAGTTCAGCCCATTGACTTGAACTTTGTGGATGAACCATCAGAAAATGGTGCAAGAAACAAGATTGAGATTAGCATGGACTGTATCCGCATGCAGGATTCGGACCTCAGTGACCCCATGTGGGTGAGTGGTAGGAACGTCTCCTTTAATCTGTGGGCCGTGCCATCCACATCTCTGTGAAGTCTGTGTATTTCATGGCATATAAAAAGGCAGATGGCCCTGAATGGACAAGGCCACTGGGCAGAGAGTCAATGTGATCAGCAGAGAGAAAATTGTTTGTGGATTTTGCGTCTTCCTCAACTCTTCTTACTGCATATGCTTCCACTGGTGTGAGGAAGGTGGGTGGGTGGGAATAATCCCTTATGTTCTTTATTTGAATTGTTCCTTATGTCTATCCCAATTTGGAGAGGGTGGTACCAGTCCAGGGTTTTACAAGAGGTCAAGTTAGAGTCAGAACCAGAGTCTAGATCTGAATTCTATCCAAATTCTATCTATACTATGGCAGGCTGCCTCTTTCATGGAACTATCCTTAAATAAAGGAGGAGGAAGTAAATTCAATGTGAATCTAGATACAGATTTAAGTACCTAGTAATAGAATAAGGGGAAAGAAGGTAAGTAATACATAAAATAGTATTTTGGGGGGGATGCTTTGCCAGTGAGTCACTCATGACCTTGGGCTTCAGTTTCTCATCTGTAAAATGGGGAGACCAGAAGTGTAATGGGTTAATAATATTAAAACACTTTTCTGAAATGTTTAGATGAAATTTTCTGTATTTCTGTAGTACATAGTGCTGGTTTGTTTGTGTGTGTGGTTTTTTTTTTTTGTCTTGTTATTTTTTTTTATTATTATTCATTCACCATACAAATCCTACTTTTCTGTAAACACACACAACTCAAACAAACAAATCCTTCTAGAAAAACAGGTGGAAAAGAGCTAGAAAAAAAGGTGGGGATTTCATAGATCATGTGTCAACATGATTTTGAAAATCACTTTAAAAATACCTGGCCTGTCTTATCTAATAGAAGATTTTACTGGAATTTTCACTATTTTTTTTTTATCTGGAATTGTACTTTTTTTTTTTTTTAATATTAGGAGAAGGTGTGTCAGGAAAGGGAAGAGGAAAGAGCCAAAAATATAAAGTTGTAACTTTGCAAATATACTGATGTTTTGCCCCTAAATTGATAAAAGGAATATAACTATTCTTCAATGGCCCCTTCTGTTCTAATACTGACACAGTTCTCTGTTATCTTTGAGCTAGTGAAAGGAAAAGGATGGATAAATCCAAGGGGCAGGTCACTCAAGGCCTTGGAATGTATTACAATTAAACCTATGTAGGGGTAAATTCTGATTTGAGAGTGACTTCAAAATTAGGATATCTCCAGTTCACTTAATAATATCACCTCTTGATAGGTAGCAAAAGCCCAGGCAAACCTTTCTTTTATATTCTCTCCAGGGATTTTCTGTTCTGATTTCTGAACTCATAAAAGCAGGTGAATTTATATAAAGCTTAAAATGGAGAGTCAAGCCTTTTTATTTATGGTTTCTACTCTTATTTCACATGCTTTCACACACTGAAACATGTGGTTTCTAAATGTGCCATGCCCTTTCTTATTTTTTTATATTATTAGAAATTCTCTCCTTAGGAACATCTTTTTTGTGTGTTTGTTTTTGTTTTCCCCCTCTAGCCAATTCTTCTCTGTCCCTCAACAAACAGTATATCCTGTCTTCTCTGGGAAAACTTCCATATCACTATTCGCCACCAGTCTGAGTTAGAGACCATTCCTCTGAAGCAACCTAGGCCTATTTTTAGTCCTATTACTTATTATACAATCTTATCATCGTTTATTTCTCTGTCTCTCAACGGGACAGGGGCCATATTTTGTCATGCTCAGCATTTGTCACAGTAGCTGTCACATAATAGGCCCTTAGGAAATTTTGAAGTCCTGCGAAATGAGAATTGGAAGTTATCTTAAAAAGTCAAAAAGTTCTCTTTCAAGCAGTCCTGTCCAAGAAAACTTTCTTTCAGTGATGTAAATGTTCTATATTCTGTACTGTTCAATGCAATAGCCACTAGCCACATGTATCCTTTGGGCATTTGAAATGTGGTTAGTGCAATTGAGGAACTTAATTTAAATTAAATTAAAATTTAAATGACCACATGTGTCTAGTTGGTAGAATATTAGGAAGCACAGTTCTAGAATCTCTCCTGTCAGAGGACTGTTCTCTTCTTGAACATTCACAGCGGCAAAGCTTCCTGTCCCCTCTGCCTCTCGTATCCCTTCCCTTGTAACTATGGTCTGTCAATTGGAAGATGCTACGCTGCTGAGGTACTTTATTCTTTACTTCCACTGTTTTCTCACTTCTGTTGGAAAGTACCTAGGTTTGCTCTCTGAGCAAAACTTTAGTTATTTAATGTCCATTTTGGTGCTTTTACAAATCAGCTAAAGGAAACTTTAAAGAAATCCTAGTGGAGTATCTGAGTGAGAGTCATGGAAGTTCTACAATGATGTTTGAAAAGGGAAAAATGAAGGGGAGAAAGTCAAGAAACTACATAGATGTCATTGCCCTCATGATAAGTGTCTAAGAATGCACTGCTGTATGGGTTGGAGGTTACTGTTATTTAAGAAATACTGATATTTAAAAGGATTATCCATTTGCATTCAACATTTTTTTCCTGAGTGTCAGTTATAAACACACACATACACAAACACACGATATTGATTCTTTTAAATAGATTTTTAACAATGCTACTAGGAGGACTGATTGAAACAGTGTGTTCAATTTGAAATTGATCCAGATTTTCTTGTTATAATTCTAAATTACAAATTTTGAAACTACCTTTTCCTTAAGCATCAATAGTCGGTGGCAATTAACATGTTTGATACTTAATCTTTCCAATCACTTTGTGAGGTAGAATTTATTATCGCTCTTTTATAAATTAATCAAAGGCAAAACGGGTTAAATAACTTTTCTAGGATGACATGTGTACTCAACAGCAGAGTCAGTATCCTACCCATACTACTGGACTTGATCTTTTCTTTTCTCATTTTTCCTCCAGGGTACTGTATTTGAGAGGAACTTGAGTTCTATTTCTTCTTAAGTACCTGTCTGTTCTGTGAGCATTAGGGATGTCTGTGTGGAGAAACCACTCCTCCTCCACGAGATAATCCTATAGTAGAGTCTCCACACTTTGCCTCCTCTGAAGAGGCACAGGTCACCATCAGTAATGACGGATGATAAAACATTCGTCCCATCACTTATTAGCACCTTCAAGCTTGGAATTGTTTACCAGCTTAAACTGAGGGTAACACAAAATCAGGAAATAAGACCCAGAAACATTGCAAGGAAATAGGGACTGAAATGATCCAGAAAAAGCTGGAAAATAAAATGAAATGTGATTTTCCCAGTGATAGGTCACTTAGGAACAAGGATATTGAAAGAAATCTACAAGTTGAGGGAGAAGGAACTTGATGACTTAAGCTTGCCTCTCTGTGGCTGTTCTGTTTTTAATATCCAAAGAAGTGAGATATTGCTAGTAAGTTATAGGTCTGTATGAATCTTGTGTCTTCCTTTGTCTTATGATCATTCCAACATCCTCATCTATGTCCACGTGTGGAGGACACATCGATGGGAATGTGCAACAGTGACAGTCCTCAGCAACAGGAGTGGCAAAATGGTAGACATGCTCAGGATCCTATAACTAGTATTCTGGTTTGGAAAGTAAGAACTAGGATCCTCTTAGATTCCTTGTCCTTTAAACAGACAGCTTCTGCTACTTGGTAGCATATTTTCACTTTTCTTATGTAGAGGTTAATAGCTAAATAGATCTAAAACTCTGCACATAAATTACTTTCCTTTTGCATATAATATTTTAAAAATTTGGGATCTCCGCCAAGCATGTTCTCACTATGCAAGAAATATGAATCTGGGGACATGAAACATGTCAGGTTATTAAGGACAGAAATCTTGAAATTGAGAATGGCATCCCATTTTTATCGATTTTTTTATACAACCTTCACCTTAGTAATTAGTCATGAAATAGAGTCATAATGTCTTTCTCTGATTATTAACAAAGGAAATTTGAGTTGCAGAGAATGTATGTGCCTTCTTCATCAGAATGATTTTACTGTCACTGAAGAATGAACTACATTGAATTAGCAAATGAAGGTGATGAGATTTCTCAAAATTTTTTCATAATTTAGCCTGTGTTTCCAAGATCCTGTTGGCTTTTGATTCTACTGTCTAATATATTCCTTTATATCTCAGCCTTGCCTTATTTACAAACTGTCTAAACATGCCTGTCATATCTTCAAGAAGGAGATAAGGGCATCAACATTTAAATGTTCTCCTGGAATGATTGATGGAAACTACGTAACTTCTATTTTTGCATTTATTGGTTCTTTGTGCTTTAAAGGAAGCCCTACTTAGTTGAACTGGGTTTTTCCCTTGTGATTCAAGTGGCAATTATCTAAAACCATCCAGCTTTGTAAATTCTTATTGTAGCATCCCAGATATACACGAAAAGTCTTCAGCTCTGCATTTCAAAGAGCAGATAGTGGGTGTTTTGGAAAGGCTTAGGCCATAGCACCGTGTATACTGCCTTACATCTTAAATGGTCCAAGATTCCTATAAGATTTCAAGTATACATACTAGATCTAGCCACAAGCATTTCCTTAGTACTTACTGCATGCTCTGTTCTTTGTGAAACAGATGAACAAATCATGGTCTCTAGCTTTGAGAACACCATAATACAGCAAATGAGCCAATGTGTACAAAATTACTCACATGTATGTATTTTTTCATTTTTTTATTTTTATTTATTTATTTTTTAAAGACACAAAAGGAATGATTTATTGTGCCTGAAAAGACTGGCAATATGTTACAGAGAAGGTGATATTTTTAGGTCTTGAAATATGAGTCAAATTGATCAAAACAGGGAAGGGAAAAGAGGTCCAAGTTTGGATAACTATTATGAAAATAATTTATTAAAAAACTATCAGGTAACACGCAGAAGTTTTAAAAGAGAAGATTCAAACATTTGGCTAAGGAGTAATTTCTATAGAAAAAAGGACAAAATGTAAATTTGAAAAGTTTATAACACATGGCAAAGGTTTAATGGCCT